ACCTATGCCATACGTTATGATACATGCTGCTGCCACGACTAGTACTGCTACTATTGTTACTATTGCTATTAATCCTCCTCCTCCTCCTCTTCCTACTACTACTACTACTACTACTACTACTGCTACTACCGCCACTATCTACTTCTACTCCTACTGCTGCTGATGACTTGAAGGCCGGCAGCTGCCACCGGCAGAGCAGTATGCCGTCGACTGCAGGCAGCGCGTGCGGACGCATGCGGGGTCTTGCGGTGCACGCAGAGCGGTAGCAGAGCCCACGGCATCCCACGAACACGAGTTATCACATGCCACCGGTATCTCTTTCTTCCCAAAGCTACCCGTAGCACGGGCAAGTGCCGTTGCAGGTTGCTGCAGGCCGTGGCAGCAGCCGCAGGCGAAGTCCAAGTTTTGCGTTTACTCGGCTTTCCAAGACTTAATGCTCCCTCAAAAGTAAGGGGGAACTCCCGAACTGTGATGATGTTGAAGCCGCACTCAGCAACTGCAGCGCGGATTGTTCTTGAACTGATGTGCCGCGCTTGACATACGCCAACGCGTGCCCAGCCCTGATTGAGTGCTCACAATCTTCGGGCGATCATCCCAACTCCTGAGCCTTGTAGTTTCTGCTATATCTTTTTCACAGATTGATGTCAGCCCCAGCACAAGATGTTTACGGTATGGCCAGCAGATTCATTGCTGCGTCGATGCTGGGCATGTAGCCTGATCACCGAGTATTGGCACAACGTGGGTGCATCTAGCCCTCGGAAGCACCCGAAATACAGGGCTAGCTGTAGTTTGGGAATTCCCCGCCTTTCGCAGACCGGCGCCACGATGGCATCCGTACGGCCCTGGCGCAAGGCGCCCGGCCAGGGGGCCTCGGCGTACCGGAGGCACGGAGAGCCGGAGAGCACGGGAGAGCTTTGCAAGGGTTATTGGGGGCTCAAAGGCTGTGCTACATGGCTCCACTTTTTCGGGAAGAAGGCGCAGAATGGCGCAGATACCCAATCCGAGTCAGAAAGACGGAGTCTGACCCCACACAGCCGTGTCACGTCCTTCAAAGTTCGGGCTTCACGCACACCAGCTGGTCCTCTCTCTCTCTCTCTCTTTCGCTCTAGCTCGCTATGTCTCTCACTGTAGGCCCAAAGCCCCAAGACGTGCTTCTCAATCATACTTCGGCAATCCCACAGAGACTCTGGCTTGCACCATCCTTGACTCAGTGGGAGCCTTAACGATAACCAAAGCCCCCAACACCGAAGTCTGTGGCTCAAGCCGTAATTCAAAGGCGGTTGGAGTCCGGTCGTTTCAAATCGACCTCTTGTAGCACCATGAGCAATGTCCGCTGTGAGTTCGTGGAGGGTAGCTCTTCAAAGTTCTGGGAGGGCGTCCGGTTCGGCAATGTTACCGTCGTTTCCTTTGGGAAGATCGGCGGTGTTCCGTCCACCAGCACGAAGACGCATCCAACACCGGGGGCTGCAGAATTGTTTCTGGAGAAGACACTCGACTCCAAGCTCAAAAAGGGGTACCTTCACACAGGTAAAGCCAAAGTCACCCGGAAGCCAGGTGCCATAGGCGCCGTGGCGAAAGCTAAGGCCAAGGCGAAGCCAAAGGCGAAGGCGAAGGCGAAGGCCGCGGCCATGAAGACCGTGATGAAGACCGTCATGAAAGCAGGGAAGTTGGCGGGCAAGATCCTCTGCTTCACAGGCGCTCTCTCAATGCCCCGTGCGGTTGCAGCGAAGATGGCCAAGGAGGCCGGGGCCAGGGTGACCTCCTCGGTGTCCAAAACCACCGACATTCTCGTGGTCGGAAAGGATGCGGGCTCGAAGGTCTTGAAGGGTGGCACACACTTGCAGTACTGGGACGAGAAGAAGTTCCTGAAGACAGCGGGATGAGAGCCTGAGCGTGGTATTCTAGGGCAGTATCGATTACCTACTTGGGAAAGGCCCGAGAAAACTGAAGAGTTCTCTAAATTCCCAGAGGCTGAGCAGCCCCTAAGTATCCTGGCACGTTTCCATCGGACCCTCCCTTTGAGATAGCAACCGTCAAGTTCCAATTGCAACGGCAGCGCTGAATTTAGGGTTTAAGGTTTTATGGCTCGATTGCTATACTCTACGGCTATATACCATATGCCATATACATACATACATACATACATACATACATACATACATACATACATACATACATACATACATACATACACACACACACATATATATATATATGCATATCTTGGAAAATGGTTTAGACTAGTTGTAATATGTTGTACAGTATGTTAACATCTGGGAGATGCGGGTTTAGGATCCCCCGTGGCTCCTTGGAACTTGCTCGCAGACCTTTTCTTCCGCGACGTGCAGTGGGCGGAGAAAGCCGACACTTTGGATCGTCCGAGCTGTCAGACCCGAAAACTTGAACCCTAAACCCCAAGCACTTTCAAACCCCTTCCAAAATCCTCCAGATGTGAGAGCCTCAAATCAAAAAAGCATGATCCTCGGTCCCTGCAAACCTCCGAATACAGACGCAAGATTCCGCGGATAAGACTAGACCGCGAACCCACTGAAGATTTCAATCTGCAATCCCCAAGCACCAAAAGCACTTCAACCTTAAGCCCTCAAAAATCCTAAACCTCCTCACACCTCAGTCCTAAACCCGCCAAGCCTGCCTCATCAAAAAGCGCTACTGTCGTAGACCTAGGCCCTAAACCCTAAACGCTGAACCCTCAATCCTAAAACCAAGGCAAACAATCCTAGACCCTAAACCGGAAAAAGGGGTCAAGAAGAAGCAGCCCGAAACCCTACGACCCTATCCCCTCGACCTCGAGGGCCCGAAACTCCAACTCCTCGGCTGCTTGGGGAGGCGTCTCCGGCGGTGCGTTCGGCGCCCTCCCCGCTGCAGGCGAGGACCCTATCGAAGAGGGTTTAGGGTTGAGGGTGTCATGCAGAGGCCTTAATTAGACTAGGGGTTTGGGGCATATTATGCTGTACTTATAAAAAGGAACCCGCAAAGTGCTATTGTTAATCATTTAGGCTTCTATATTAGTTGTATCATTTACCAGCAGACTGAATATTTTCCATAAGGTTCCAGAAATGTTCTATAATGGACTCCTACGGCTTGAAGTTTTTGGGCAGCGGCCTACGGCATTTCGTAGATGAGTGTAGATGAGGATCTTCATGTCTCCTTCCTGTCACTCTCCGCGT